TTTTTTTTTTTTTTTTTTTTTTTTTTTTTTTTAATTTTATAGAAGAAGAAGAAGAAGAAGAAGAAGAAGAAGAAGAAGAGGGTTGGAGAGCAGGCGGGGGGGATGGAGAAAAACATGAAAAGATGAAATGGGAAGTGAAGAAAGAAGAACAGAGAGTAGATATATATATATATAGGAGGAGATGTGCGTATGGATATGCATGGCGGAGCGGAGCAAGTTACCAGGTGCAGGTGGTGGGAAGAGGTTTGGGAGACGGAAGGAAAAAGAAGAAGACAGGCAATGGCGAGAGAGAGAGAGAGAGGAGGAGGAGGACATGGTGGTGTGTTTTGTTTTGGCGCTGCCGCTGAGAAGAAGTTAGCGAAAGAGGAAGGCATTTTAAAAGGTAAACAGAGAAGGAAGAGGACAGAAACGAGCTCCCATGAGATTCCCGCTCATACGCCTACAGGATCATCCAGAACTATGGAAGTGAGGCTACTCCCGTCCTTTTCCACCCCCTCTCCTATTCTTTTCTCATTTTTTTTTTTTTTTTTTTAAACATTTTTATCACTTCTCATATATCACATCTTTATTTCAAGAATAATAATAATAACAAGTGTGATTCAGCAATTTTTGTCCACTGTTCATCACATTTAGGTAAAATTAATTGATCTATAATTACTGAAAAGAATCAAGTCATCCACGAAATTTAGGTCAAACTTGGATAATTAAGAGCGTCTTTCTCCACACGCAATAATTTGTTTGGTAGAATTATGATAACAAAGTACAACTTAATAGGGAAGAAGGCAGTTGAGAAAAGAACATTCGAGTATAATTTCGTGCATGGAAGTGATACCACCCAAATTCCTGTGACCAACCCCAAACCCCTTGGATTATAACTAATACCCCCAACCCTTTTAACTCCAAATTTGTTGAACCATTTGTTGATAGGAATCAGGAACGAAGATAAATATAAAGAAAACTGCACATTACCGACTGCAACAGAAGCGGAGAGAGGGCACCTAAATTAATTTGAGCACTACATTCATTACATTTTAAAAAACTGCAATATTTAGAGAATGATTTGAAGTGTAACAATGGAAGGAGAGGAGAAATTATTATGGTCAATAGGCACATTAAACTCAAGCTCAACAGTTGAACGCCGAGTCAAAATGAGTGTGTTGTAGTCATAATGTCAGTTTCAATGTACAGAGTGAGAAGTTAGAGATGAGCCAATTTGACAACAGAGGCATCATGCATGCTGCTGCTTTTGATAGCTATTATTCCCCTTTCTTCCCACGAGGCGTTGAATCTCATTTCAAATAAAAAAGAAACGGTTAGATTCTAACAATGACATCAAAACTCTATTCAGGAGAAAAAGAAACCAACAATTTCATATCTGACACAGATCAACGGGGGAACCTCCACCATTTGCTTCTTCTGCTCACACCTTCAACAACTCCTGAAATACAATTTGCAAATTCATGTTCACTCAACCACTGGAAAAATATTGTTGATGATAACCAGGTAAGTTCAGTGCCTTGTAAGCACTTCGTGAAATGAAGAGATCCCAAATAGAAAACCTACCAACGCTCGTGCTTAAAGATTATAGTTCTAATACCCAGAGAAAGGAACAGTAGAGATGGATCATACCTTCTCTTTCTGCTTGTATATGACATCAATCTTCTTCATATAGTCATCTGTCAGTTTCTGCACTACGAAATCATCTTAGCTTGAGATAATCAAAATACGATGCAATTACAAATGAAACATTAAGAAATCAAATCACAATACGGGCACCGGAGAAACAAATCCCCTAATATATAAATTCGACACTAAATAACTACAAGAAAGCTCTTCGTAATCTTTTATGTAATGAATACATCTGGTTTCCCAACAACTTGTGATTTAACCAAAATTTAGCACAAACAAGCACAAGGTTTGATGCCTTCTGCAGGACTTACATCCTCTACTCCTATCTGGGCCTTTGTGTGAACGTATTCAAATTCCAACTCAAAATTGATTTAGGATCAAAAGCTCTAAACTACAGAAACAATAACAAACCTGCAAATCGCTTGACAAGTCCTTAACATTATCTTCCGAAAGTTTTTTCTCCTGATACAAAAGATAAAAACATCAAGGGAGACAACGGAGCTTGCTCTTTAGAAGGCAGATCAACAAAACATAGAAGCGGAAGAAAAGCACCATAAGATTAAGGTATAAAGATGCATGCTTTGCTGACCTTTTCGAGTTTGTCATAGGCTTTCAAGGCATCTCTTCTTATATTCCTCACCGCCACCTGTAAACAGGAAGATGCAGGATGTCATCTCAGAGTTCATGATCAGTAGCTGTTTAAGCATAGATCCCAAAAGTCACGACAAATAAACTCATTGCAACTTGGTTGAATACATATATCTCAATCTATTTTCATCTCCACCCCCTTCCCATAAAGGAAAAATGAAACCATACCTTCCCTTCCTCTGCCTGCTTAGCAACAACCTTTGACAATTCCTGCAGTGTAAAGTACGCAAATATATCATCCACAGAGGCACGGTGAATAAGGAAGGAGGGGCAATCTAGATTAAAAAATTATATAAATAGTGGAGATTAATTTTTTTTTTCTCTTATTTACCCCCAACTTTTCAAAATTGAAAAATGACAGGCATAAAAAGTTAGAATGTAAACTTCTGCAACTTCAAGAAAATTTCTGGCTCTGCCCTCTTATCATCCACATTCACTTGCTAATAATGTAAGTTGAGGAAAATACCTTTCTCCTTTCGGATGTGAGTTGAGGGAGAGTCAACCGTATGACATCTCCATCATTGTTTGGAGTCATTCCCAAGTTAGAGTTTACTATGGCCTTCTCTATTAACTTTAAGCTGAAGATGGTGACTCGTTAAGAGTTAATGCTGATATCCAAAGACATTATACAAATATTACACTGTAAAGCTGGATAACATCATTCTACAGCTAATGATAATAGGATGATTATTATGTCCACAGCAGTCTCAACCAATGAACGCAAAGAACTCAAGATTAGAGAAGATCTAATGGGTCCATGCGAAACATTTTATACAGAAAAACAGGAATTACAATGACGAAATTCTGAAGCCTTAAGTAGGTCCCTCTAAGAAAAGCAAGCTAAGAATAGTAACATGTATAGATTTCAAACGTATAAAAGATTGGGGAACATCCTCAATATTCAAGGGTTCATGGTAAAAGGTATGGTTATAGAAGAAAACTTGTCCTTTGGTCGTACATATACCCCTTCCTGATTCTAACATAACAGAAATTTGCAAGAACTTAATCGGTATAGTGTTTGATTTTTATAAGGTAAAGGGCACACACCAAATGACCAATAAATCCCAAAAGATTTCCAAATCTATTCAACTCAGCCAATTGACACATGGAATACCTGGATTTATCATATGGCTGGATCAAGAGAGAGCTTGCATCAGGTGTACTAATTTGGGCAATGCTCTTCAGGCCAACTGGACTGCCGTAATACTCCACCTGAAAAATCATGAAAGCGGCAAATAAAATTTTGATCGTCATGATACTCATTTGAAATTTGAGAAAAAAAAGAAAGAAAGAAAGAAAGAAAGAAAGAAAGAAAGAAAGAAAGAAAGTTCTAAGCAGACATATTGAGGCAGCTATCCACTAAGCGACCCGAATTTAAGAATTGCCAATACCTCAATCTTATCGAGCATGGCAGGGTTTGCTCTCCCTGTCCTTATTGAGTTGAAACTAGACCGAACAGTATCGATAGTCTTTTCCATCCTTGCTCTCTGGAAAGTAATTGGATGATTATTGGCACAATTTTTCCTAAATTTAGATTGCTTTATTAAAAGATGCAGCAACTCTCCAAATCAATGATCATAGGAACTTACTACATCTTTCTCAATCAATGCTTTCTCCGCTTCAATTTCTTCGATAGTTGCCGCCCTAATGACTCCTCTTCTAAAAAAAAATTCATAGCCAAAAAGAGGAGGAGAAGAATATCAATACAACTGAAAAGCCACCACAATCAGCTTCAGGTAGCAATAAGGCAATGATCAATCCAAATATGCAAAATGCTTGTATGTGTACCATTTCTCTAGGGCGGCAAGGTCCGTAAGAAAGTAAATGAAATAAAATAAATGGGCTTGCCTGTATTTCGACAGATTCCCTGATGGAAAGGGCTGGGTAGGAAGCATTAGGGCATGTCGCCTGATCCGGAAATAGTTTGAAGCTGATTTCCATGAAGAAAGATGCATGGTAGTGGAGCCGCATTTGACGCAGTTTAAGCCTGCATTATAATCTAGAAGGAGAAGCGTTGCAGTAAAGAAAGCAAAAACGAGAAAGCAAATTTGGGTTGAAGAGCGAGGTAGACGTACCTCGGATGGAGAGGAGGGCTTTGGGAGGGGGGATTTGTTTGGGTTGGAAGACAGGACGGAGAGAAGTGGTGGAGGAGAAAGGCGTCGCCATGAAAACCGAAATGAATGAAGTGAAGATGATAGAGATGATGAAGGGGAAAGGTTAGAAGTTGAGAAGTTGTGGATAAGAAATTGAATTGCGAACGCGAGGAATACAGTATTCTGCCAGCGGCGCCAACTGATAGAGATAAGATGGGAAGGTTAAAAAGTAAAAAGTAAAAAATAAAAAATAAAAAAGGATAAAAGTCTCCGGACACCTCCTCCCACCTGCTTCCATCCTCGGTTCCACCAAAATTTTCAATTTTTTTCAATTTTTTTTTTCCTTTTAAAAATCTTTTTTTAATGAATAATTCCTTCGGCGGACAGTTTGTTCGTTTAATAGCAACGTATTATCATATAAGCACCAGTTCTCCACTTTCTCTTCTTCCTTCTTCACTCCTCTTCTTTTATACCCCATGGAGCTAAAAGAATCAACGGCTTTCCCAGTGCCAAACCACCAACAAGACTCGGATTCTTACACTTGACGGCGGTGCAACAACCGCCATTGTAGCTGCTGCTTCTCTTGTTTACCTAGAGGACCAGATCCGCATCGACACCGCTAGCCCCTAGGCTCGAATCTCCGATTTTTTCGACCTCGTTGCCGGAACTGATATAGGCGCTATTCTCGACGCCGGTTTCTGGCCGGAAAGTCGATGGACAAAGTCCTGAAGGAAGCTTTAAGAAAATTATGAAATATTAAGACACCCTAAAATGGTTGCCTTGCCCACCCCACCCGTTTGGTTTGGGTTTGAATTTATTATCTTGAGGGGGTCCCACTTATGAGCGGTGAAAAGAACTGTCATTTTGGAAAGCAGCTGACTGAAACACAAAGCATTCAATAAAGGTAACTTCTTTTTATTATGGCCACATAAAATAATTGAAATTAGAAGTTCACACAGATTCGGAACGTTGGTTTTGGTCGCCTCCCTGTTATTTAAATCTCTAGTTTTTTCAAGACTAGCCGTTGCAATCTTCTTCTTCTTCTTCTTCTTTATTCATATTCTCCTTCCTCTAGCTCATCCTCATAGTCATGGCAGCCTCGGTGGATTCTCCGTCATCTTCACATCCCAACCAGGTTCTTCTTCTTCTCTCTCCCTCTCGCTCTTCTTCTTCTTCTTCTTCTTCTTCTTCTAATACATTTTCTGCAATGATTTCAGGGATCGACCAGCTTCGTGGGTTCTTCCCCATTGTTCAGTCCCGCTTCCGACAAGCGTTTCTGGAGCTCCCTTCGAGGTAGAATAGACTCTCTTCTTGAGGAACGGAATGTAAAGTCTTCAAATCTGGATCCTATCATGCCCCACCAATTAGTGAGTGCCTTTTCTCTTCCATTTTCTTGCTCTTTTCGGGCCAAGTCAAGCTCTAAAATTTTGATGGGTTTGTGGGGATAGAACACCAACAAATCGGAAAGGGCAAAGAGATTGAAGGAAGATTCTTTGCTTTTGCTGAGGGGTTTCGACTCGGTTGGCTACACCCTATCTCAGCTGTCCAACAATTTGGATAATGCCTTACAGGTAACGTCAAACTCATTCCTTCCATTTTCTTTGTTCTAGAGTTTCCATAAAGGACTTGCAATCTTCTTTTGTTCAAATTCAGTAAACTATGCTCTTGAACCCCACAAATGGATATTTGATTTTGAGGTCTGGTTTCAGGGCGCTAGGGATCTCGTCAAAGCGCCAACCTTGACGGAGATCTTCCAGAGCAACCTCAAGAACTCGGAGGTTGAGGTAGGTGATTCGAAAAGGAAAGAAAATGAGTGGGAGGTGCCCAAGCAAGCAACAAAGAGAAAATTTGATGACAGTCATTGCTCAGAAGAATCAGAGGTCGATTTAGAAAAAGATAAGCAGCAAAACCCAAAAGACAAGCTTCAAAAGGCCAAAACTGTTGGTTGCCTTATCCTTTCATCTATATTTGAACACTCAACCCAATCTCATTCTTGATGAATATTAACATTTTTGGGCCTGCGTTTCTTCAGCTTGCAGTTACAATGGCAACAAAATCAGCCTCTCTGGCAAGAGAATTGAAATCATTGAAATCCAATCTATGTTTTATGCAAGAGCGATGTGGTATACTTGAGGAAGAGAATAGAAGACTTCGGGATGGGTTTTCCAGAGGGATCAGACCAGAAGAAGATGATCTGGTCCGTATCAAATTTATGTTCATGATTGTTTGTTCTTCATTATTCCCAGGTGTGTAAATTAGATGATGATTTATATGGAGTCTGTTTGTTTGATGGAAAATCAGGTTAGGCTTCAAATGGAGGCACTACTTGCTGAGAAATCCAGATTAGCAAACGAAAATGCAAACTTAACAAGAGAAAACCAATGCCTTCACCAGCTTGTGGAGTATCACCAACTCACATCCGAAGACCTCTCTGTATCTTACGAGGAAGTCATCCAAGGCATGTGCTTGGACTTCTCCTCACCACCACCAGCCATTGCTGAAGAAGATGAAGAAGAAGAAGAAGAAGAAACCAGTGGAACACCTAGAGTTGATCTTTTTAGCTTTTCTAACTCACTTGATGAGCTCCACCAAGAAGAAGAGTAGAGGTGATTTTGGAGCAGAAGATTTCAGAGCTTTGGTCTTCAGTATCTTTCCATTTTACATTCCTGTAATCAAGTAACCTGATGATCGTCACTGCATTTATTTAGCTCAGAAATAAACTAATTTATTTAGATCATCTTTTTTTTCCCTTTACACGCCAAAGCAAGTTTTTGGTACGTCGTTTTATGCTACAAGACCTTCAAAACATATCATAGCTTAACAGAAGAAGAGAGGAGTTGGAGGGGGTATGGAGTTCAAAAGAGAGATTGCTTGATAAGAAGCATTGGAGACTGAAATCACATCCTTCATTTTCTCCAGCACTTCAGAAAGCATTCTATTCCCTTTCTCATACTAAACAACCAAACCAAAAGAAACCCTGATGAATACTTTTGACCTTCTGATCTTAATAAGTTTTGGAGAATTAGATTTTTCAAAGTTATATATCAATTGGTGATAAGTTTTCAGTTAGCATGGGAATCTCATCATTCTGGTCAGACAATGAACATCCAATTAAAAGAAAATGGTAGGATGAAATGAGTTAAAAGACAAAGCATGCCATTTGCAAATTGGTTGGCAGGCGCAGTAGAGACCCTGTTTTCTCAATGGAAGGATTGGGTTGCTTAGGACTTGGAAGGAATGAGTTAAGTTGCCCAATCCGGAGGACTTGGTTTTGAAGTTCCTCTAACACAAATTAGTTAAGTTGCCCTGCCAAAGTTAAACAACCATAAATATTGAGAGAATAAAAATGTTTCCATTCTAACACTTCCTTCCTCCTAAAACCCAAAAGGTTCATAGACCGAAGGAAACAAGCTCCTACAACTTTCGCAGTGTACATGCACCAAGTTATAAATCTTTAAGTATTTGAAGCACAATATCGTACGCAATCCATAAATGCCGTATGAACTGAAATATTGAGCCAAGCTCCGGCCGCAGCCCATCCAGAAGGTTGCATCGGAAAAAGGCTGCATGATCAGTTGAAGGTAACAGAAAACAGAGTCATGTCAGGATTTGTGACTGCATCTGAAATCAAATTCGGCAGCTTTGAGATCAGGGACACGTGTTAGCTTTTCAGGGTATTCCTTTTTTTTCATGGAAGCAAAATATTGTTGAAGGGTCACTAGTGTTACACACATGTATTGTATAGATACATAAGTATGAATAGATAGATGGAGGTTCATTAGCGCCCCTTCAACACATGCATCTACCAGTGACTACATTTGTTACCAAAAACTGGTAAAAAGTGGAAAAGAAAAAGAAGAAAAATCTCAAGTAGCTTCGCTTCGCCACTTGAAGAGGATAAGATGATATCTTTTTGAAGAAAAAGCACCAAGTTGTAATGATAAGCGAGAGCGGGAAGCTGCATCCAATTATTCCAACGCTCATGGAGACGATGGATCTCCAGTTCCACCACCACTCCATATTCCGCATTCATACCTCTCCTCACTTCCTCAAACCAATTCCACCCTTACAAACTCACCCTCCTCTTCTCAGGACCTCCCTTCATCGACGCCACCGTCTTTCCATAAACTCCGTTTCGCAGAACCCATTTCAATCCAGCGAATCGATTCCTAAAAATCCGGAAAAGCCACATCCTAGAACTCTATTCCCAAGTGGGTTCAAGCGGCCGGAGATCAAAGTGCCCAGTGTCGTGCTGCAATTGGATGCAGCAGAGGTCTTGGACGGTGGTGAGGACTTGGATTTGATCGATAGGTCTTTGTCCAAGTGGGTTGGGATGGTGGTGCTCAATAGTGGCGAAGGCGGCGGTGGCAAGCTCTACGAAGCTGCTTGTAAATTGAAGTCGGTGGTCGGTGACCGAGCTTATTTCTTGATAGCCGAGCGCGTTGACATTGCGACTGCCGTTAATGCCAGTGGAGTTGTCCTCTCTGATCAAGGTTGTGTAAGAAAAATACTCTGTCATCCCAAGATTTTCGTTGCCTCAAATTTTCAATGGGCATCTTTAGTTAAATGAAGTTTAAACTTGGGGGGAAAAACGTGTATAAGCCACCTGCTTGATGGAAGATATTCAGTCTGGTTTATGATGGATATAATATATGGATTTCATAATTTTAAATCACAGGAAAGACGAACTGGGACGGTTATATATTTGTGCTTCGGATGAATATATTCAGTCTGGTTGAGTAATTTGTTTCCATTTGAATCAGGTCTCCCTCCTATTGTGGCCAGGAACACAATGCTGGATTCTTTATCAGATTCCCTATTTCTACCTCTGGTAGGAAGGGACGTAAAATCCTCAAGTTCAGCCGTAAATGCATCCAAGTCTGAAGGAGCTGACTTTGTTTTGTACGATTTGGATGAAGAGAAGCTTGATACGACAACAGATTCTGTGTTTAAGAATGTAAAGATCCCAATATTTGTACGACTTTCCTCATATGGAGAGAACACGAGGTTTGTTGAGGCATTAAAATGGATGGAATTTGGTGGAAGTGGGTTAGTAATCTCTTTGCAAGGTTTGAGGCTGCTGAGCGATGATGTTGTTGGTAAATTATTTGACTCCATATTTACAGAAAATGGAAGAAATGAGGACGACATTGAAAGTGGTGCTCTTGAAACTACACAAGTAGCTGGTTTTGTTAATTTGGAAGATAGAGAAAAAGAAGTCATAGAAACAGAGAAGTTAGTATTGCGTGAGGCCACAAGTGTTATTCAGAAAGCTGCTCCAATGGTGAACATTTAATTAAACCATTTGGTATCGGGTTTACAAACAAAATTCCTAGCATCTTCCTTTGTTACCGTTTTCCTTATTTGATATCATCTGCATTTTCTCAATCTTGGATGGTTTTAAATGGCAGATGGAGGAGGTTTCGCTTCTCAATGATTCAGTTTCACAAATTGATGAGCCATTTATGCTGGCTATAGTGGTAATTGTGTGCTGAACTTCAACAAACTCTGGTTGCAGGATGTACATTGGAAATGGTATTTTATCATGAGCATTAGCCACATAATTGGGTCATACTTCCAGTTAGAACTGCATATGAAATAATTTAGGTCCGCTTGATAATCATCAAATTTTTGGTTTTGAAAATTGTGCTTGTGTTCTCTGAGAAAACATTTGAATTCTTTGTCAAAAACAAGACAAGTTTTTGAAACGCTTTTTTTTTTAGTTTTCAAAACTTGGCTTAGTTTTGGAAACATATGTATGTATGAAGGGGATAACAAAACAGGAAACTCATAGGTGGAAGTAGTATTTATAGACTTAATTTTAAAAAAAATAAAAAGCTAAATGGTTATCAAAACAGGACCTTAATGAGTCCTTTAATACAATTCTTTTCTTGTCGTCCACCTCCTTATGGGATTCAGTAGATGAAAAAAAAAACATTACTACGACTAATGAGACTTATGTTTTGTATTTGTGACCAGGGTGAATTTAACTCTGGAAAGTCAACAGTTATTAATGCACTTCTTGGAAGTAGATATCTAAAAGATGGGGTTGTTCCTACGACTAATGAGATAACTTTCTTGAGGTTCTCCACGTTAAATTCTAATGAACAACAACGATGTGAACGACATCCAGATGGTCAATATATATGCTATCTTCCTGCTCCCGTCCTTAATGAAGTGAGTTTATTCATAATCTCCTCTTGAATTGTTGTGATGGTATGTGCTTCATAAATTAGAATATGCCCCACTGGAGTTGTTATTCCTATTTTCTTCTCCTTGATCTATACTGGCGTAACTTGTAAGAAGTGGTCCTTCGAAATTCAAAAAATATTAGGTGACGTTGGCTAGTTGAATACCATACCCAATTCAAAAGATATTCATTTCACCGCATTTTAACAATTACCTTGGTGTATAAATTCTGGCTTTTCAAGGAATGCAATAAGTGACGATGATTTTACATTTATTAGGTATTAAAATTTAACTAGTTGTATGTGAAACCCTATCTATAAGACATACGAACGATTACTCTGTGAGTGACTATATCTAGTATTTTATATCGCATCCCTTGTTATCCCTTTCCTTGTTTCTATGTTCAGCAACATAGTTTAGAATCTCAAAAACAGTGAAAAGAAACTTAAGAATGATCTGAAACGTTACATTATCTCCATCCATTGGGATGCCCGCATGTGCATTAGAGTAGATATATACATGTGTTATTTGATGTCTAATTCTAGTTTTTCTAATTTTTTTAATGCAGATGAACATTGTTGATACACCTGGTACCAATGTCATTCTTGAGAGGCAACAACGTCTAACGGAGGAATTTGTGCCTCGCGCAGATTTGCTGCTTTTTGTTATTTCTGCTGATCGCCCATTGACTGAGAGTGAGGTATGAACCATTATTGTAGTCTTTTTCATCCATGTGACTTACTACTTTATGTAAGGACTATTAAGTTGTTACCTACCACTCACACTTGGAGAGAAAATTTTGGAGTAAGCATTTTGAGAAGCCTGTACGTTTATACCTTTACAAGAACAGGTCATGGTTTGGTCGTAGATTGCGAATGGCCTCTTCACATCTGAATAAAATCATCTATGGTTTTTACTTTCAGGTTAACTTTCTTCGTTACACACAGCAGTGGAAGAAGAAAGTAGTGTTTGTGCTGAATAAATCTGACCTTTATCAGAATAGCCACGAGGTTTATTTAAAAAACTTTTTTTTTTTTTTTCTTGGTGTACTTACACATAGTATGTAGCCGGTAGATTCATTCTGATCTGTTTTTATCCTTGTAATTTGTGGCTTGGTTGCAGCTGGAAGAAGCCCTGTCCTTTGTCAAGGAAAATGCAGCAAAATTGTTGAACACTGAACATGTATATGTGTTTCCAGTATCTGCAAGATCTGCTCTGGAAGAAAAACTTTGTGCTTCTCTGGATAGTGGAGAACCCTTATCGCCCTCTAATTCTTATTGGAGAAGCAGTAGCTTCAACGAACTTGAAAATTTCTTGTATAGCTTCTTAGATGGGTCAACAAGTAATGGAATGGAAAGAATGAAGCTTAAACTCCAAACGCCTGTTTCAATTGCAGAACGGCTCCTTTCTGCTGCTGAAACCCTTGTGAGACAAGACATACATTTTTCCAAACAGGATTTGGCGTCGTTAAATGAATTAGTTGACGGTGTAACAAATTATGGAACGAAGATCGAAACTGAAAGCATCACTTGGAGAAGACAAGCCTTGTCACTGGTATATATACCCATTCCAAGTTTTTACTTTTCACTTATTCATTAGGTAGAGAGGCGAGTTTTTTCTATCTTTATTTACTGTCCTTGTGGATCTGTGTAAAAATGCAGATTGATTCTACCCAATCACGTATTATGAAGCTTGTAGAATCCACTCTACAATTGTCAAATTTTGATATTGCTGCCTATTACGTTCTGAAAGGGGAAAAGACTACCACTCCATCTGCTGTCTCGAAGATTCAAAATGACATCATTTCCCCTGCACTATCTGATGCACAAGTAACATTTTTTAAATGTTAGCTTTTTTGCGTTCTGAATTTATTAGATCCTTTTTTGTAACCATTTGGTTTTTAAAAATTGAGCTTGTTTCCTCACAATTTCTACAAAATACTTTTCAACTTTCTTCATCTACAATCAGTTTTCAAAACAAATCAAAGAAACTCATACGGTGGAAGTAGTTTGGTATGACAATTCTTTAATTATCAATGGACTTTGCCGGCTTCTAGTTATTTATTTGTTCTAAAAAGATATAGAGCTATGCATCCATCCTAGCTCCAGGGTACAGCTTGAATCTTCTAGTGTTTATGTTTGAAGATTTTCTGAAGCTTCGCTGATCCATCCATGCAGTTTTCTTGTTATCTCTGAACGTCTCTGATTTTTCATAATTTTATGTGCCTTACAGAAACTTCTCCAAGATTATGAATCCTGGCTGCAATCATGCAATGCTCATGAAGGAATAGTTTACCAGGAATCCTTGCAGAAACTATGGCCATCTATTGTTTTTCCAGCTACCCAGGTGCAGTTTGGGACTTATGAGTTGCTGAAAAAAGTAGATGATCAAAGTTTGAAAGTAATTAAGAATTTCAGTCCAAGTGCTGCTTCCAAGCTGTTTGACCAAGAAATTCGTGAAGCGGTGAGAGCTTCTTCTTAAGCCATGCTCGTCTTTTTTGAAGTAGGAAACTGGAAATTTTACTTAATCAACGATTATGAACTTCCCTGTTTTCCATCATCAAACCTGATGGTATATTGTTTTTTCCAACTTCAGTTTTTGGGAACTTTTGGTGGACTTGGGGCAGCTGGTTTATCTGCTTCGCTTCTAACTTCAGTACTTCCCACCACAGCAGAAGATCTTCTTGCCCTTGCCCTTTGTTCTGCTGGCGGGTAATGTTCATCTTCCTTTAGCCTTACCCAATAACAGATTTAACCATTTTGATGCATCTTCTGCAACTTCTTTAACTATACGTTTGTTGGAGCAATAACTTAACTAAAATGACAATATCTGAACTTCTGACGAGGTTTTTTTTTTCCCTGTTTGATAGATTTTTGGCTATTTCAAACTTTCCAAGTCGTAGGCATCAGTTGGGAAGTAAGGTAAAAAGAACAGCAGATGGATTTGCTCGAGAACTTGAAGCTGCCATGCAAGAGGATCTCAAAGAAGCTGTTAGAAATTTGGAAACTTTTGTGAGTGTCATAAGCAAGCCATATCGAGATCAAGCACAAAATAGGTTAGACAAACTATTGGAGATTCAAGACGAACTGTCCAGTGTTGGGAAGAAATTACAAAAACTGCAAAATGAAATTCAAAATCTTCATGTATCGTGACTACACAGAGACATAGAATTTTACCATCTTTCAAGGTCTTCTCAGTCACGGGTGTTAACTGGAACGATGTCATTTTCAAAGTATAATGTTCATCTGCTTGATCCATCTTTTCTGGATTCCTTGTTGAGCAATGTCAACAGCACAAAGAGAGCTGAATATTTCCTTTAATATCTCATCCTTCACAGTTTATTTCCATATCGACATATTGATCCATAAGACGTCAGGATTTAAGCAAGGCTGGAGAGTTGGCCAAATTTGAAATGGAGGTTTCACTGCAGATTTATCTACTACTTTTCTACAGAATGGTATTTGGTGATAAGCCTTATCTAAATGGAATTTGGGATCATAACTACTACTGATGGTCATAGTAAAACAATCGCCAACGCAAGCAAAGGTTCTGTTGAGGTTTTGCAAAGCATATCCACAAGCATCTGTCTTCTAAATATTTGATAAGTCTGGTGACCGAGAGCATCATTTTATATGGAACAAACTTGTTGGAGAGAAATTGGTGAAGTAATTATTCCACCAGATTCTCCCCGGATGTGCACAGCAAATGTGAAGTAAGAGAAAATTCAAAACATGGTGAGATTGGTGAAGGGTGGAGTTTCCATGAGGCTCTCGCCAATGGAAATGAAGAAGAGGAGGTGTACGTCCATCCACAAAGCTGAGCAACAAAAGCTTGGAAATGTGCACAGAAAGCTTAGGCAGCGAGAGTGGGAGCGACGTGGGTGAGACTGATATCTCTTTAATGACATTCGAAGCGGATGATTCTCGCCCCGGTGTCGGATGTTGGACATGGATGCAGAAGAAAGTTATCCACCTCCATTAACATCAATCAGCGGCGTCAGAATGGAATCCTACAGAGAAGATGGGCGACTGGTGTTGAGAGCTGTTCAGAATGGAATCCTGTAGACTTCTGGTGGTGACTATAACATTTGTTTTCCAACTCCAAATATAGTTTGAAAAGATCATGTTCTTTTCAATAACTTGGGGTAAAAGAAAAACAAAAGGAAGGGGAAGAATAAAGGGGGAAGTTAGAAAAACAGCAGCAACATGGGACTGAATGACATCATCATGAATATATTTAGTGGAAGGTTTCGTAGGTTCACATGCAGGACAAATGCATGCAAACCCAAATTGGGCAGCTAGCTGTATATATAGCGATTAAATATACATCATCTTCTCAATGCCCATCCATTTACTTCAACCTAACATCAACAATCAATCAATCAATACAGCCCTCTCCATTTCATTTCGTTCTATATGCAGCCTAATTAATTACATGCAAAATCGTTCGCAACAGGAAGAAGAACAATCACTTAAAGCTGTGCATTTCTCGTTGTAGATCATAATCCAAATACCTCATATCATTTCATTTTTGTGTATTCTCAATCCTCATTCCTCAAATGCCACCTAAATCCAAAGAAGTTTTCTTCTTCTGCTCAAGTATCAACGCAGGGTATGATTTGTTGTATTGCCCTCTTCACCTCCAAAATGCTTGCTTTCTTCCCATCCATACCCTCCTTCACCTGATCATAGAACAACATATCACAACCTTAGGAAAATAATGCTCAGAATATGTATATGATACAGTTGTATCCTTGGGTGGGGAGGAAGATATGGATTATAATGATTGAAAATAGCACATGACGATCACGGCTATAAAGACTCTATTGCTTGAAACTAGTGATGCGGTGATATGTTGCACCAAGGAGTTGATTGTTTAGACTATGTATACCTTGGCCCGTAGCTCAGCTATGAAGACTCCATTGCTCGAGGATGACCTTACTGCTGTGGTCTCAATCCGTAGGCCTTGGAGAATAAGCAGGATATCAAGCAATAGTCCTTCCTTATATGGGCACTGCACCTCCAACAATCCCTCACTTCCGATGATTGAAACCTGCAAATTGGTTTTTGGGGACTCCACCGCCTTTTGCTTTGTACATCCATCCACTACACCCTCCAAAATCCTTACCTTTCTTTTGCTTTGTACATCCATCCTCTGTAGTTCTTCAAAACTGGCCTTCCGACTACTCTCGAATTCTCTGTTTTGTGCTTCTAGATCCTGTATTTTCTGACGAAGATGCTTCAGGTACTCCACTGTATCCCCCAAAATGGAGGCTTGGTCCATTTTCGTGGCGAACGGTAAAATGGATCTTAGGATGATGAACTTGTCGTTCAGCCATCGGCCATCGCAAGATTTAGATTTAGATGGATTGTGGTCACAATGATGTTTGGTGTGAAGGAAGGGTACAGTATGTAAAATGTTTTTGAGCAAGCGTTGAGATGTGCTAGTGGTTCCCATCGAAACACGACGAAGATCTGAGCAGCGCGTCCACTTGGAGAAGGCTGATATGGTGGAGCAAGTGACGGTGGTGATGGAGGATGAGTCCGGCCACCGGCTCGACTGGTTTAGGAGGAGGGCTGAGAGCGTGTTGGAGTAGTGGGTGTCCTCCTCTGTAAGCACTGCCACTGCTGCTGGAGAGTTCCCTATGTATATATAGGAGCGGAACAAACAGTTAAGTATGAGTACATATAAAGAAGTAATGTAGTTTTGATGTTCACAATCATACAGATGAGGAGAAGTTGGATACCTAGAGGTGGTGGGTGAATGTGGAAGTGTGGCGGTGGTGAGTGGGGCAAAGGGAGAAAATTGTTGGAAGTATCATCAGGCGAGCGTGAGCCAAGTCGGATGTCTTCAGATAGCTCAAGTTGCATTATTAACTCGCTTGGTTCGCCGCCTCCTGCAGCATTGCTATTGCTATTGCTATTGGTGTTGCTGGTTGAGCTGTCCGAATCCATCTCATCTTCTAATTCTTTCCGGTTGGTATAATGCTCCAATGAAGTGGCAGAGTTTGATGTTGAGAGCTGTGAGAGTGCTGGTTTTGGTGCTGCCCACTGGGTTGCTGCGAATACTGATTTCATGTGTTGGACCAATGCAATGTCTTCATTAACCTGAAATGTTACTGTATCACTGTCTTTCATTTAAACTCATTTTGATGAAGCTGCTTAACACCCAAAGAAATTGGTGCTTACCTTATCTGTGGTGCCTAGTTCAACCACACCGTCCATTACAGGAATGCAAACCACTGTCTGCATGAGATTCACACACTCTGTTCATGTAATATATACATAGTAGTCGAATGATGGGATCATATTACCCAATTTATTTCATGAATAAATTGATGGGATCATATTACCCAATTTATTTCATGAATAAATTGATGGGATCATATTACCTTTATGCCAGCACTCTGATGATCAAATCACGAGGGATCCCACGTCGCCCCCAAACCAACAACAAAAATATTAGTTAAAAAGCAGTCGAATGTTGTGAGACACAATCATCTATAAAAGTAGTAGAGCTGATGAGATAATGTAGAAGATGGATGGAGAATTTGTTATATTATTTTTCCATCTAATGTCGCTTCACCAATGAACATACTAGTGCACATGTTCAAAGTTGGCATTAATTTCTTTGAATCAAAATAAAGGTAAAGATTTATAAATAGATAATTACATTTTTGTAAGATTTATAGACCAAAAATAAAACAAATTTGAAAGTTCAACCATCCAAATTAAATTTAAACAATTATACAAAGCACTTCTCAAGTTTTATTACACCTTAAACTTTAAAATGCGTTTCAAGTTTTAAGGTTAGGATATTGGTTGGAAATTAACGTGACAATTGATATATAAAATTAAAAAAACACATATCACTTATTTACAACATCATTCACATGCTTTCATAAAATAGTTGATGTATAAAATTTGATAACGTGAATAAATGGTGATATAATCTTCTAAGTTGTGTTGGAACACATAAACACATTCAAATCGCATGGTAAGTGCATGAGTTTAAAAGGGAAAATGGTTAGTAATACCTTAGCAAGAATAGCTCTGGAGAAAATTTTGCTATCAATCTCATTAGCACCTGTAATCCACACATGTTTGTTCTTCGCAAATGCCTTCCCAGGCAATCTGTATAAGTAATTTTTTTTTTCCTTTTTAAAGAAAGAATAATAAAATTGATTTGAAATTCGAGCATTGGAAGACAGAAAGCTTACCCGAGTCCCGGAGGAAAAGAGAAAGAGAGACACAACAAATAGAACCACTCGGACTCCGTCAAGTCCTCGGGCGAGAGGGCGGCAGAGGGGCGGCGGAGGGGGTGGGCGTGAGTGCTACTGTCGGCGGCGGATAAGGAGTTGTAAAGATCCCTGAGCTGATGGGTTCTTTGAAGAGACAGAGAGGCTGCTTGTAGTTGTAGTTGTTGCTGCTGCAGCTGCTGGTGGTGGCCGGTGAAGTCGGTGGCAGCTGCGGGGTGCAACGTCTTGGTGGTCTTGATGGGTCCGTTGTAGAACCCATCTCCCCAAACCAACACCCTGATCATTCATTCATAAACCATAATCCGATGATTCAATATAGTATAGTATTATGAAGTGGAGAGATAGATCTGTGAATAACTCAAAGAAACTAAAAGCAGCTTGTAATATGTATGCATAGTTTGAAGTACCGGTGTTGAGTGGAGAAGCGCCAGTAGAGAGAGTAAGTCCACTCCACGGATTGCACCGCCAACTGCAACAACCCTTCCATTTTGATCAACACAGACAGTTATTGTTATGATCGCTTCTTTTCATTGTGAAGTGATGGAAGTTGAAGAAGGAAGAAGGAAGAAGGAAGAAGGAAGAAGAGATGGTTTTGGTTTCGAAATGAGGATTGAAAGTTTGTTGGTTAGTTTGGAGTTTTGAGTGAATATGGGCACCTCAGTTTTGACCGACTGTTAGCTTCTACCAAACAAAATAATAATAATAATAATAATAATAATAATAATAATAATAATAATAATAATAAAATAGCTCTCTCACTCTCCTACCCTTGTCTGTTTCATTACGCCTCCTTTCCCCTCTCGGCTTTTATAATAAATACCATTTTCATTTCACATTTTACAGGGAAAGATGGCGCTTTTTCATTCAATGCAACACAACAAAACAATATTGAGGTTTACTTTGATAGTGGTGTCTGGTATGAGAGCAGATAAGATTATGGGATTGCCATCGGCTTTGCAGTCTGCATTGTTTATTTAAAGGAAGTGACAAGTAATGGGTCGAAACCAGAGAAAAAACAAACGCATCAGACAATTTATGTTTTTCTAAAACAAAAACTCATAGGATTGGACGAAGCCAAGAAAATAGATAGGGACCCTGTTTTGCTTCAACGTCAAATGTCTGGTTATACCTAAAGAAGATCAAAAATCAAGGAAGAAGACGAAGAGGACGAAGAAGAAGAGATGGTTGGTTGTAGCCTGAAGATTTCAGCCGCTTTTCTGGCTTTGTTTGGCTTCTTCGCTATGGTGGTGAGCGTTCCAAACACGGGAGTCAAGTCAGTTTTGTGCAACTTACGAATTTTCACGGGGGGCGATCCTTTTGCCGTGAGTCTGGATTACGTTCTAAAAGAATTGGAGAGTTCGACTCCCACTACAAGCAATTATGATTTCTACAACATATCTCCTTATCCTAATTCCTTCGCTTACGGCCATGCTTCCTGCAACCAAAGCCTTGCAACTTCAGACTGCACCACTTGTCTTGGCGCTGCTAAGACCAACATGTTGGATTCGTGTCAAATGAGGATTGGTGCTCGTGCGGTGCTCAATGACTGTTCAATTAGGTACGAGCAATACCCATTTGATGATTAGACGAGTCTCTTTCCTGATTTGCAATTAGCCCCCTCACTTGAGTCTGAGTCTGTTGATGTCGATTATCTCTTCTTTGAATTGCACTTGTTTCACTTCCTCGTCTCTTTAATCTTATTTGGGTTGGTCGGGACCTGAGATTGGCTTTTCTTTGTCAATTTTAAAGGAAGATATCAGGACGATGGTTGGTGCTTTCCTATGAACACTTTATTTGTTTTAAACCATTCCTCGAATAGGAAACCCGCACACCCCCTCGTTGATTAGAAAAACAAGCAGATTCAGAAACCGCCGGGAGACGAGGTTTTAGAGGCACTAATTATAAAACTAAAAACTGAATCACTTCAACTCAATTAAAAAAAAGGTCTAGTACTGACCTTATTATATGATACGGAGTGAAAATATCTAAAATTCCACCTTTTACAAGTACAACATGACGGGCAACAAACTATTCCATCATCCCACTCTGTCGGACCTTCGAATTGCCACTTTAAGCGGTGGTACTTTGATCGTCATCAGATGGCCTCTGATCAGATTGGTTATCGGCAAGGTCGTCGGTATCCCGAGCCGGATCAGAGTTGTCCATGGCGGAGCGGACCCTATCGAGGAAGGGCTTGAAAGCCATCTCAATGGCGAGCCAACCCAGCGCTAAGGCTCCAAAGACGATAGCTGCTTGCTTGGTATCAGACTGTTTCTTTCCCATTTTTTCTTGCTGTGTCGGCTACGGCTAGGTCTTTCAGAGTTCCCTCCTCCTCTTCCTCCTCACCTTAGCGACGAAGAAAATATTAGTAAGATAGAAACGGCAAACCATTAAACAAAGGTCAAACACCGTTACTTTTAGAACTTTATCCGTGTCGGTTTAAATCTTAGGGAAACAAACCTGTATCACACCAAGAACTTTATCACACTAAGAACCGTAATGAAACAAAGATAAACGTAACATTTGCAAATCCATTCCACAAGAACCATAAACTGAGTTCTCTTTCAATTGAATCTGGACCAGATGTTTGCGTACTTCCTTATAATTTCCATCACGTCCTTGAACTTGAACCAACTTTGAAGGCAAATTCAAGAACCTGGTAAGCTTCAGGCTACAGAGCCTCTACCACCCCACGGTGAATTGAATTGCTTGTCCGAGTTAATGAAAAGAACGCAGTTGGAGGAAGAAAGAGCTCTAAACTCTAGAGAACTCTCGACTTTTATTTCAAGGTAGAAGAAAACGCCACCAAGAGTCTTACCCTTGCCAGAATAGTGTCATCGGCAACCCTATGAAACAAGTTCATATTCATCATAACCAAGTACTTAATGACTACATCTTTCAGAGTTGAGTAAAAAAACGAAATATTAATTTGAAGACATACAAGAGTTTGATCATTGTTGATGATATTAGAGTAAATCATTAACAGGGGCAGATCCCAGCCACATAGCAAAGCTACATCGATCACAGGAAAAACAACTGAATAGCATTGTAATAAACATATGAGATCGGACAGTGAATTGCTACACCACATCTTCACGTCACTAAATTCACAAACTTTCCCTAAGATACAAGTGTTTACACTATGGAGATCAAAATTTGAAACTGTAACAAATCTAGCGTCCACGACCACGACCACGCCCACGGCCTCGTCCTCGCCCTCGCCCCAAAGGCTTCCCTATAGTTGCAAAAGAATGGGGAAATACATAAGCAGCATATTTGACATTGGGTAGCATATGATTCAGTATAAACAATTTGACTTTCAGAAAACACCATGAAGTACAGGCAAAATGCAAGGACAGCGCATACCTGCAGTTGGTTTCTTGGGCTTGACCCTGGGTGTCTCTTCAACAAGTAAAGTCTCAAGATTCAAGCTGTCAGGTAGAATATAATATCTGATGTTGTTTCCCCTCACACTTAAATGATCCATGGTAACTGGATTTTTCCCCTTTAGAGTAAGCTTCACAGCCTTTAAATGTGTATTCATGCTGATATCCACACCTAAGTGATACAAGAAAATCAGCCCGTCAATGACTTCTAACCTTGACCAATGCTTGGTTTTAAGTAAAAAGAGTAAGAGCTTCTACATCAAGTTCATGCCGTCATTGTTCTTTTTTTAAAAAATAAATAAATAATACTCATCTGAGCATGTTTTAGAAATAAATTGTAGAAAACAGGCACGTAGAGCATAATTTAGATGCTTCAACGTATTAGGCCAAACAAATTTCACAAGCCGTAAGTGCAAGATCCATTCATTTCAGATCCAACTTGCGACAATTAACTGACCCTACTATATTCAGTTGCCAAGGTAAGTCATAGGATAATAAATCCTAAGTAGGTAACCAACATGGCTTGAATCCATTCTCTCTAAGTCATTTGTTATTTACATGACCCTTATTCAATTAGGCCAACTCATAGTGCACTGCAAGGTAGGTTATTCAAGCACATTGTATATATTGACACTTATTTATAGTTTCAAGTGAAATCCTACAACAGAAGGTGTGACCAACTAAAACTATGACATTGAGTAGAACTCTTCCATAAAAACAGTTGTAAGAAAAGACAACAATAATTAGTTTCAGAACCAGCAGCACATAAAAAAATACATTAAGTGGAAGTTGGATAGGAGGTGTCCACAAAAAAATGCAATCTAATCATAATCACCAACTTTTTTTTTTTTTTTTTTTTTTTTTTTNAGAAACTAAATGAAAACTAGACCAAAATGGTAAAATACCCTTTTTATTTTATTGAATTAGCACTTTTTGAAACCTGGAAGAGAGAACCACCAAATTTATTCGAATTCTTTTTAAAAGCTAACACATATGGAAACCCTGTTAATTCTATTTCCCCTTTCTTCCTTGGTTCTTTCCTCTTCAATTTTTTTTTTTTTTTTTTTTTTTTTTTTTTTTTTTTGGGTGTGGGGAGGGGGGATATAAGATACTTGATCGAAATGGAGTTGGATTTCCCTTCCATTGGGTCTTGGGGTTTGGCTCTTCTAAAAGTAGAGCAATTGTGCCCTCCTTAAATGGTCACGGTGAGGGGTGATGGTTGGCATATGGGGTGGAACCACAAGAATTGGCAATGAAACCTAAACCAAAGGTTGCATTGGAGGATAATTGTGGAGTGCTTGTTGGCTCTTTTTAATAGAGAAATTGGTAGTTGGATTGCCTTTGCAGAAAAGATTAATAGGGTTCAATTAGAAGCTGGCCAAGACAAAGTAGTAGGATCCATCGATTCATCCAAATGTATCTCCACTAAAACCACTTTCATTGGTTAAATAAGTTAAGAATCTCCCCAGGATAGACAGGATGTTTGCGCGGTATCTTACTTACAGAAGCCTCAACACCCCAAGAGAAGCTAAAATAAAGTTCCCAAATTGGGTTGTCACCCCCAGTTTGTTCCTTTGTTATTCGAATGTGGAATCCCAAAATTACCTTTTCCTCCACTTCTCTTTTGTCTATAGGGGGTGGTCTTTCATTTTCAACGAGCTTAGTTTATCTTTATGCCTACCTAGTTTCGTTGATGATTGAATTTTGGAATTTGTTACAGTCTGATTGCTTAAAGGCATGGCAAATATCGCAAGGAATTCTTCTTTTATGGACTTCTTGAGATAAAACTCTATTTTAGATTCTATTTGTAATAGTTTACTGCACATTATTTTTATGGTGGGTTTTCAAACACAGGATATTCTATTGTAATGACAGTCTTCTAAAGATTAACTCGAATTGGAAGGCTGTTCTTTTGTGTCTCTGTATGACGCAGGCCCCCGAAGAGGGAAGCTCAACAAATCTCAGATCTCTTCCCAGCCCTAGGTTAGTATTATTGCTTCTCTTTTGGTTATAGCATAGTCTTTTATCCAAACACACACACACACACACAATATACCAACGAATGGCATATGGGCCACAGAATTCAAAAAATTTTGGAGCTCGGCCAGAGTTAATGTTTAATGGGACCAAGTTAATCCCATTCTATTGCAGGAGAAAAACAGTTCACGTTAAAAGTACAAGAACGCTAATTTGGGTTAAGAAATAATACCTATAAAACAAAATTGGGAGAGGATGAGATGAGACCGCCATGAGTTTAATACTAATTTTCAAAATTAAAAATGGGACAGGATAGTAGTTTTCCAAGTGCGCGTTTGCCAGAACGTTTCAGTTAGCTTTCTCAGCTTCACAATCGCAGAAAAATGTCGGGAGATAGTCCTTGAGTAATAAGCGAGATTAGTGAGAGATGTATGACGTATACCGGTGGACTGTGAACCTTGTAGTAACTCCTAGTATAAATGTACAAATAGCTATTTTGAGAAAATAACCAGACGGAGTTTTTAACGAAACATTAATATTAGAAGTTCTAGTAGCAATGTCGCCGAGAAACATCTACGTACTCCAAGGTTATCATGAGCCAGAAGGCTTGTGGTATATCATAAACCACTCTAAATTGACAAAAGAATCCAAATTCCAATTATCACTTTGCACTGAGATATTCCACAACTTCCAATATAGTAGCGTACAAAGATGAAAACAGAATGGAAGTTAAAGTTTAAAAAACCTCTGCCCGTAAGTTCGTAAATATAGGGTTTAAGGGTTTAACAAGATTAATGAAGTTTTTATGCAGTGCGAGTTAGTGAGTGAAAGAGAGATGGAAACCTGTGATGGTGCCATGGACAACGGTTCCATTTTTCAGCTCGATTGAGACTGTCTCATTGTTGAGCTTCATCAAAAACCTGTGAATTCATCAAAACCAAGTTTCTAAACATAAAACGATCTCTAAATACATCAAACAACGAGTAGTTCGAGAAAAAAGAAGCTCATAGTAAGAAAAAAGAAGAGCATACCTAACAAGCTTCATGATGGCGGGGGAATTGCAAAATGTAGGGTTTCAAGCACAGACAAACAAAGGAGGCGGGAGGGGAAATTTGTACAATTTCAAGTATGTGGTACGCCTGATAAGTAAATGGAGAAAATAGGTATAAATGATAATATAAAGAATAAAAGGACGAAAAAGAAAATTACGTATAAATAAATAAACAAATAAAGAAGTGGGGTGCTTGGTATGAGAAAATACTGCAGCTGGCGCGTACAGGTACAACCATTACCGTCGCTCCCTACACTCTCCGTCTCTGCTGCTCCGATTTCCGCTCGTCTTTCCCTTCGTCCTCCTGGTTTCACCATTTTTATCAGTGAGCTTCCTTCCTTTTTGCCGTTCTCCATAGCTTCAAAACATTAACATTTTTCTCAGTACGTAACGTTAGCATTCTAGCAGGTACTAGGTACACGTCTTGTTTTGTAGCAACAATAAATCGTAAGTTATTCCTTTTAAATAAAAAAACATCGATGATGAAGTTCGATTGGAACTTAGTCATATGTAGCTTGACTTTACATTTACAATGGCTTGCCGCTCCGACAGCATATTTCCCCCAGCTTTGTTCTCCGTTTTCCCTATCGAGACATTTGACAAAATAAAGTCCTGATGCTTTGTTTAATTGTGTTTCGCTTCAGTTCCAGGTGAAGATCTGTTACTTAGAACCTGTCATTCTTTCTTTACTATCATTATGTTTTTCCCTCTGGGCACTGTTTTTTTTTTTTTTCTTTTTTTACTTACTTATTTCTCCATATAACAGTGTTTAACATCCTTCGCCATACATGTATTGGTATTCTATCTGTTTTTCCCCTCGATCTTCTATTTTCTTAAGGCTTCTATGCTCCCTTATTGCTGTTTAGTGGTGCTTTTCGTTTCCCAGTAGCTTCTTTTACTTATTTATTGGTCCTGCCCTTTTTCTTCATGAAAACCCAGGAATGATTTTCCTGTTTTGACAATTTGTTGTTTACAAAACATAGCTAGTACTTTTTAACATCGTATTTTCAAAAACAAATGGAAAATATGGGGAAATGCCCATTTCATGTGCTAGTAGGCGTTGGGTTTTCAAATGTCCAATGGGTATGCTCAGGTAAATCGATATATTGGATGCCCCGGGAGAGATGTTCTAGGAATTTTCGATTTATGTTTCTGATTTTTTTAAGGAGTTATTTGGTAGGTGACTTAGAGTTACTCTCAAGAAATCTGTAATCGAGTATTAGTTTCCTCTCAATTGTTCTAACAACGGTGACTTCGGCCGATCTTTCTTCAAGGTTTGTATTTGATTTTTGGGGTGATTTGACGCTTTGGAGCAGCTCTAGCTTATTCTAAGCAAATTTTAGCATCCTCATAAGTTGTAGCAATACTAAGAATAGCCAGTCATTTTTTAGTTCTTATCGTTAAGTGTTTCTGTTTGAGGACTGATTCCTTTTGAACTATTAAGGTTTAAAAAGTTGCAATGCAGGAAAAATGGAAGGACAAAATGGCTGCAATGGCTCTGTACAAATGCTCTCTCTGAATTTTGGTGCGAATGTCAACATTGTTTCCCAAGTACCTGGAGATTGTACAAACCACCACCATGTTTCGCCTGCCGATAGGAATATAAACCAAACTAACTTCCCCCATATAATTGAGTGGACTCAAACTGCAAAAACGTCTCCGACCTTTGTTGAGTTTATTGCTGAAACTTCAAACTTTCCTAGAAAGGAATCTACCAAAGATATGATAGCAGTTGTTCCTGTCAGTTCCGTTCAAACTATTGATGGAGTCTCTGAGATTCATGGAGAAATTTCATACAATCATCCCGCAGGTTCATACACTTCAAAACCTACTGATTCACGCAAGGTAAAGCCAATCTATACCAAGCCTAACATATGTGAAATAGTTATGGCCGTTACTGTGCTTTAGGCAATCTAGATCTTGTAAATATAAGGATATAGGTATATTCTCTGCTCTCAGTTTTGGGAACAATGTATATTAGCCATTTTATTGCTGAATCAACATTTATTACTAAATTACACCACTTTCTGGATCTTTTCATGTAATCCTAATATGTGACTTTCGGACCAGGACAATATATCAGGTAGTCTATCCAAGCCACGTACCACTTCATCAAGTAGACGAGGCTATTCAACTGACCGTGTAAGCGAAGCACCTTACCACTTGCAAAATAAGAAATTAAATAAATAAAATCTATTACTATGCTTTACAAAAGAGCAGAAATGTGATGGCATTAGTTTGAATTGTGAAATACACTCAAATTAGGTTATTTTGTCATCCAAAGTGAAGACAAAAATTAGTGGTGATTCCATATTTTATATTTAATAATCTATATGTTTACTTTTAACTAAGAACTAGCAAGCTTGGATGTTATCTGTTGGGGCCAAATTTAACTTGTTTAACACATTTCAGCAACGCAGGATAAGGATAGCTGAAAGACTCGAAGCATTGCAGGCACTACTGCCTCTGGCTTCAAAGGTAAACTCGTGTGTCATTATGCCACAGAGAGGCATGAACTTTTATAAAATCTTCTAAGCACTAGATTGGCTTGATACCGTTCAATATGTATCATTATAATAATGCATTGAGTAAGCGTGCTTGAGCCATTCTGCTGTCATAAATTTCCTGAATTTTATTGAGGATAAAACTATAAATGTACTTGAATGCATTATCTTTTGAACTTTCCATTTCTTTACCTGCAGCATAGGATAAATATCTTCTTTAAATCCATTTTAATTTTGGTTTCGCAAGGGAAATCAAGCATCTGCTCTAGATGATGTCATTGACCACATCAAGTACTTACAGCTTCAAATAAAGGTAGGCATCTTCGCCCTTGCTCTGTTTTGTACGTTTCTTTATAGGGTACTTTACAGTTTTGATCCATATGTGCTTGTAGCTTGTTGGCTTCATGGGTCTTCCTAACCACTGCTGGTGTTGTGCCGTCAATTGATTCCCACACTTGGGAAAAATGCTTTCGACGGCTTTCCGTCAATCTATACACAGCTCATTTCCTTCATAGTCTTAAACACACGAGATTTTGAGAGCGTTTTCAATCATTCTCTTTTAGTTAAAATATTTGATAAAGAAATTTATTTTGGTGGGTTTTAAATATTTGGGTGTATGAAGTACTTGGTGAGTTGAGTGTGCTCTTTTGTAATCTCATCTTTTGGAACATTAGTGGAAACATTCTCGTCATCTTTGCATGTGGATGTAGGCATAGTCTGAACGACATAAGTTCTTTTAATTTTTTTCTTCTCTCTTTTTACATTTGTTATTCAGATTATTTTCACTGTACATTAGTCTCTGCTCAGGTTTGAAGGGATGTTGGCGTGAGAGAGAGAGATCCATATGCTGGTAATGTAGATAAGAATTTGGCTCATCGAGCCCATACGATGCTGAATATCTCAAATTGTATAAGCATTGATCCAAAATATTGGAGACTTGTAAAGAAATATAGTAAGCTGGTAGCAAAAACTTGGGCATGTTCTTGAGCAATAAGGGCCCATGGTCATAATGAATAATTGTTTCAATAAGCAGGCGACCTGCCAATACTTCGAAATATCTTAACGTACATAATGGTGTTACGGGTGAAATTGCTTTAAAATGATTTTAAGGGTGTAGATAAAACTGAGGCATCTATGTTGCTGCGCAGGACTTGAGTCAGAGTAAAATAGGCGGAGAATCCTCTTCTGAGCCTTTCCTATTCGTTGAGGTATCATCACATGTTTGATTTTAGCATTTCACTACTTTCTTTTGGAAAGTTCATGCAATACTCATGTACGGCTTTCTACTATTATTTCCATACTTATAAATTTTGGGATGGAAAATAGAAGCTCCTTTATTATTGCTTTTGGTAGGGATATGGCCATTACATGAGCCATCAAGAGATGCAGGGCGAGCCACTTGAAGAGATGGTAGGAAAATTGCTGGAAGTTGACCCGTTAGCTGCTGCTCAGCTGCTGGAGAACAAGGGTCTATTCGTGATGCCCATGGATTTTGTTGAAGGATTATGCTGAACCATTTAATCAACCATGGAGCTTCCTGTATGAAACAGTTCTCTCTCGGTTAATGCTTCTGCTTTATTAAGTACCTACGGCTTGTCAATCACCTCACTTGAAAGTAAAGATACCTGGGTAACACTGAAAAATGATAGTTTTGTTTGTCCGTAGCATCATTCCATTTTGGGGGGAAAAAAAATCTCACAAGATATAGTTTAATGGTCGTTTGACAATCATTCTTATTTTTCCTCATGATTTCTGGGTTCTGTTAAGCAATTTTAAAAATTTTGCCAAACATTTTATTAAAACTTCAAAGAATTATGATTGGGTGGTGAAGTGATAGAAAGTCTAGTATAGTATGATATGTGACACCATTGTACTATTTAAAAAAAGAAAAAAAATAGAAAAAAGAGTGAGGCAATAATTGGGGAATTGCCTTTTATCAGAATATATATTGAAGATGGGACGACGAGACCAAACCCTTCACTAACCTAAGTGTTACACACTACCGTCCATGGCCATCTGAGTTGCAGTTTGATTTTGATGGCCACCTGCCAACAATACAATCAAATTAATCTAACATTGCATTCAAACCAAATTGTAAACACTAATTCTAGAGATGTCTACCAAGACGGAGAAGCCTTTCTAATCCAGTCTAATTCAATTTTTATATATGTAAGGATTGGGTTTGCATGGGATTCCTCGCAGCATTGTTGTGAATCGTAATCCAACTTTCATAAGATTGTTCTGAGAGGATTTAGTTAAATGCTTGGGCACTCAATTGAAATGGACCACGAGCTATCACTCTCTGACAAACCGATAACCAAACTGAGTTTGTCAATCGAGGTATGATAACTTATGTATGTTGCTTTGCTATGCAATGTCCCACCAGGAGGGTTACATGGGTATTGGGAACAGGGAAACTTATTGCGCCAAATCAAAATGAAGCTGACACCTCAATTTGTTGGACCCTTTAAAGTGCTCAAATGCGTTGGACCTAAGCTTATCGCATCCTGTGTTTCATGTCTCCCAACTAAAGAAGGCAATTGGGTACAACAGTCCGGTGGTCCAAATTCCCCCAATTTTCCTGAGAATACAGTTTAATAAACGATGCCAGAGGAGATCTTTGATAGGAAGGTGTATGAGAGAAATCATGCAAGGCAAACGTGTGAGCAGAGTGATGGTAAGTAGTTATGAAGTGAAAGGGGAGGAGCTTTAAGGAATGTTTCGAGCCTGTTTTTGAGAGAGAGATTGGGAGAGACAGGAATTCTCTCCTTGGTTGTACCCTTGTTGATAAAATAAATAGATTTGGGGTCTATCAGCTTACCTAAAAATGGCATGTGACGAACTGGATCGATCATAAATAACCCACATAATCCATACATAATGAGTTTCAACATATAAATAAAGTCAGCATCACCTTCGGTCAACCCAAACAAAGATTAAGATTCTACGATTTCATGCTTAATAATGTCTCTTCATCCAAGCTCACTTAGTTCTCTCCCAGTGCTTCCTTGATATCAGCCTGCATCACACACATGCAACAGCCTCATTTCCACTGATAAACAGATTGGTATAGATGTTGAACAGCTATTGAGAAAATACCTCAATTGACAGGGGCGTAGTGGTTGTGCCATAGCGTTTGATGGCACGACCTTCTTTGTCAACTAAGAACTTGGTAAAATTCCACTTTATTCTTGACCCCAAAAATCCAGTTTTACTAGCTTTAAGGAACTTATAAACCGGTGCCGTATCAGGGCCATTCACACTTACCTGAAAACAAAAGATGTGTTGATTTGAACTCAGAATTAATAGTTTAAAGATTTAATAATTCTCTCATTTGGATGAAGGTGACCAACGAAACCCTTCAGCATCATGCACTGATAAGTTTGAAGTGCAGCATGGTATATTACATGGAGTTCAGCTGGTTGCACCACAGACACAGACTGAGTCCTCTTGTTTTTTTCTGTTCCTAATGAAACATCAAGCTTTCATTGATAAATGAAAGTGGTAGGCACAGACAGAATCTCTTCATGCCGAAAATAATTATACAAGAGAAGTTGAGTTGCCTGATGATCTCAAGAAAGGCAGTAATAGGAGAATCTTTTTTCTTTTTCCTTATGGGAACAAGGTTTTCAAGAGGAAGGTGCCACAAGGCAAACCCAGTAGGTCAATCTTAATAACTCACCTTTTAAGGGCTCCAAAACGAAAAGAAATGAATGAGAGAATATCCAAGATCTGGAGTTAACCATGACCATACTTGAATAAGGTATGTCCTTGAGTTCAAATATCCGGAATTTACCTTCCTGCATGTGAGCTGGCTACCTCACCAATAAGTGGACTTGACCCAGATAGAGGATGTACTAGTGGGATTATGAGTAGCATACATCTAACCTTTTCTGTCTTTAACTATAAACAGAAAAGGTTTACACATTCTGAGAATCATTTCAGACAGACATGAAAAGGAGTAGAGACACCAAGAAGCAAGTTAGTTAAAATAGTTAATACTTGGTCAACTCTCACGATGAAAAACAGTTGGACAGGAAAAGAAATTTGGTCTTTCAACTTTGAGATTATAAAATTGAAACTTCAAAGTTCTAGTAGACATGAAATTCTAATTAATTTTAAAAAATTGCTTTCCAAAGATGAAAAAAACTAAATAGATTTCAAATTAAGAAGCATAGGTTACCTTCTGGAATATTGGATACTCAGCTTTGAATCTTGTACAGGCAAATTCCTGTGCCTCCTGGCTCGATCCAGGTTCCTGACTCAAAAACTGATTACATGGGAAGGCCAAGATCTCTAACCCTGGAAATCAGCACACAGGTAGAGTTAGCGAAGTAAAGAAGCTAATTGACCAAACTAAAACAAGGAATCTTCATTATTCCATCCTTGCACAAATTAATGTTGTTATAAGCAAAGAAAAGCGCATACCTCTTTCCTTGTATTTGCTGTAAAGTTGGGTGAGCTGGGTGTAATTTGAATCTGTGTAACCACTGCCCAAACCATTCAAATTTCTCCAGGAATAAGAATCCCAGAAATTCAAGTAACCAAGAGACGCGAGGTACAGAGCAAAAGAAAACCAACCATTTGGAAGCAACATTTACCACAAGAACCACCTTTCCCCGGTAGATGCTTAGATCCACCTCTTCTCCTTTCGCATCCTTCAACATGCCAAATAACTCAATTCCTTCACTTTCCAATTCCAACTCTTTCAAAAACAAGGAAAAACTACGAGAACTTACCTTCACCACAAATTCATGAATGGACTTCTCGGACACTGATTGAGAAGCGCCCATTTCTTCTTTCTTTTCTTCTGCTTATGCGTATCCTCTTCTGTTCTTCTTCTCTGGCAGGATGTGTGTTTATTGATATTTATATATACCATATTTCTTCATTTAAAGAAAATTAATATACTATTTAAAAAAAAAAAAAATTAAGCCAGAAAATTTATATCAATAAAAACTTTAAACTAACATCGGTAACCCAACACTCGTATGTTTTAAAATTACATCTCTGTTGTCCTTTCACCGCCTATCTTCTTCGCAATGAAAAACCCATTTATAATAAATAAACCAACTTGTTGGTTAAGTAGCATTGCTGTTCCTATGAGGTGGTTGTAAATGGACCAGAAGAAATTAAAAGTAGCGGAACTATGCATTTGACTAAATTTCTTTTTTCAGAAAAGAAGAAAAAAAGAAAAAAAGAAAAAAGAAAAGCTGAATCCATCCATGAAGGATGGTGGTCCGTCCATATTTGAGAAAGATGGGTGTTATGGATGAGCTCAAAGACTAGTCTCCATCACTGTGTATGCCTCAATGTCCTCCACTATCAATAGGGTCTTCCTGTTCCTCCAATAATTTACAAAGGATTAACAACTTTGTCTTTTTCTCCCAACTTAACTTGAGAGCCTCCAGTAGTGTTTCGAAAATCGTAAGCTGCCATCATTGTTGTGACTCGTTCTGCCACTGAACTAAGCAAAAGGAAAGACTGGTTAGAGTTTTGTATAAAACTGAAATCAGTGGCAAACACAGAAACAGTGGTTTGAGTTGGTTCAAAATACACAACTGTTTGACCGCCTCAAAACAACCGCCTTTGAAAACTGAAAAATATCTGCATTCCTTTATTTTCACGCTCCAGACAAGATTCCCCACCATATTTTGTAATGTGGTCCATGCCATGTGTCCCCTCCGTTTCGCCTTCCACGTGGCTCTCCACCCCACTCATCAAAGTTTCTAGATGCTGCCACATGTCGAGCTAGCAGGCACGTGTCTGGAAATGAATTGAAAATGGGAATCCTTGCAACAGTATAACCTACCGGAACCCAACCGAATAATGTTTTAAACTTGAAGAGAGAGGGATGTGAAAGGAGAATTTGGGCATGAGAATGAGCATGGAGGACATGAGCTCAGATTTGAGTAGGCAATATGATGATGGGAGGGGCGGACGTGCAGAGAGGAGAGGAGTGCCACGCCTTTGAACAACACCAACCAACTTATTTGGGGAAGGATAGATTTTGGTGGTAGTGGAAGTGGAAGGACTCGTGTCCAACGTTTTGATAAAACAAAAGGACGCGCAAATCTGCAGATATTTTTTTGCCTTTGCGGAGAGGCGGAAATGGATTTCCTATTTCCCAATAATATTTTAATTGGACACGTGGTCTTCTCTCCTCAACTGCTGACGCTTCCTCTGGATTCTCTTCTCAATTTCACCAATCACATTCCCACGCGTGTCCTCTCCTCCAATTGGTTCCCCACACGTTTCCTCGGGATCGCAGGCTATAATAAAGTGGCCAATCACCAAAGGGACACGTGTCTGATTTGAGTGTTCTAGACCCGTAGTAGACTTCAGACATATATTGTAGTGGGTTCTTGTCTTTCGCAATTGGCATTGGCCACATTTTTCTTTACCCCCAAAACTGAATAAAAATGAACGCCAACAGCAACAGGAGGGTCAGACCCTCTCCGTCGCCTCAGGGCTACGACTCCAACGACTCCGGCATCCTCAACGAGCGCATACTTCTCCTCGTATTTCAAACAATCAAGTGGGACTTACAGACGCTTTGCATCACCGCCTCCCTCAATTGTAAACTTCGAGCCATAGCCGACAGACTGCTCTGGCGCCAGCTCTGTCTCAATCGAGCTCCCCGAATGGTGGCCACATTGACCACCGGGGCTCCCAATGCCCGAGTCGGCGGTGGATGGAACGCGCTTGCCAAGCTAATGTTCTTCTGCTGCGGCTGCCAGTCCAGCCGCCATTTCAGGGTCGCCCAGCCCCTGCCCGGACATTTCGTCCACGAGTCTCGCTTCTCCAAAACCTCAGGCCGAAGCTTTCTCACCAAGAAATGTCGAGGAGACTTGCTGTACGTGAGCGATCCCTGTGAGCATTCCAACGGGAGCGACGAGGATGATTTGGGGATCTACAGAGGGGTATTTCGGGGATTTATGAGATCGAAGACTAGGGCATTCTTGATCAGACGGCAAGTGAGGTTGGAAGAGAGGACCAGATGCCCCTATTGTGGGGCTCGGGTGTGGAGTATGACATCCGCTCGACTCGTACCCAAGAGCGCGGCTAGGCGGCTTGGGACGCATGATGGAGGCCTGGAATATTTCGTGTGCGTTAACGGCCATTTGCATGGCTCTTGTTGGCTCGTTCCTCTATCATCGGAGGAAGACAGGGCCAACAACGAGGAAGAAGAAGAAGAAGAAGAAGAAGAAGAAGAAGAGGAGGAGGAGGAGGAGGCGGCGGAGTGTCACAGAGAAGTTCGTGAGATTGGGTTTGAAGACCGGACGGTGACAGATGAAAGCGCGAGCTCCACGGGGGAGGAGATTGTAGATAGTCGCGGAGAGGTCCGCGTCCACACCACAGATTAGAATGGGATTTGCATTTGGGCAGTTCGTAGGCCAAAGCAAAGCGGATAAGCAGATCAAAACAAGTTAGAAACTGATGTAGAAAATAGGAGGGGCGGGGATAAGGTATAAGCTAAGCAGTAAGGTGAAGCACAGACAGACTCGAGGAAGCATGGTGTTGGCTGTTTGGTTTTGGTACGACGCTCAGTGGTCTCCCTTACAACTTACAATTCTGTTTCCAACACAGCGATTACTAGTATTCTAATCACAATCACTTTTCTTTATCTTTTTAAATTAGAGTAGCTTGAACTTTTGCCATTTATATTCTTTTTTTCTCATTTCATTTCATTACAATGCCCAGTGAGTCAGGGCTTTCCACCCATCCTCTGCTAATTTTCTCTTCTCAAATACACGTGCCTTATTGCTTCAAAATAATCATCACAAATCAGGGCTACTTGTATTAATATCTACACCAGAACCAGGTTGTTTCAATACTAAATTTAAATTTTGTGTTCCTATTTCAACATCAATTCATTTCAAGACAACGATATGGTTAAAGTTCGACTAGGTTTATTAGAAACATTCTTAAAAACCAAACGTGGACGTGGATAATTGAATATTGGGGCAACCTAAAATTCTTCTCTTTTCCACTAAAATCCTACGCCCATTTCATTCTTATGCCTACCCTACCACTCTAAATTCATAGCCAACTCTAGCAGCGTTTCTACCAACCTTACCGACCGTTGTTTCTCCTGATGTTTCAACCTACTTGCCACCGATTCCGCGTCAAAACCATCTGCATTTGCATTTTGCACTTCACTCTGATCCGCCCTGACTTCTTGTAGCAATTCATCAACCTCTCTGACGAAGTCTACTCTCAACAGTGTATTATCAGCTTCAACTTCAAGTGATGGCCGTAACTGCCCTTGATGCTAATCATTAAGACAAAATAGAATAAAAGCAGACTCAGTTTAGACATTCCTTAAACTTTATCATCTACATCTCGTTGGAAACCAATTGAGCTATCATATTTACACAAGTATACCTTATCGATGTCGAATCCAGCTGGAACGAGAATGCTAAATGGATCCTCCCGCGGGAAGGTATCAATCATGCGTTTTCTGCAGTCTTTTAGCCATCCTTCATCGTTGAAGTTGTCATACATATTCAGAAGATCGTTGAGCAGTCTCATGGCAGGACTAGCCTCTCGTTTGAGAATTTCAGTCTAAAATATTGAGGAAACTTAGAACATGAATTACTAGGAGAATACACATTCTTGCTTTTTCCAGAATAAAATTGAAGGAAAAGAAAAAAGTAATGCTGGTATAAAGATTAGTGAGATGACTTGAATAGAAAAGTGCCGCAAGTTACAACCTGTAACTAAAAACCATTTCACTGGTAAGACAGGATCCAAAATGGATTGTGTAAAAAAATGGACGGAGTGATAAAAACACCTAAAAGATTAAAAAAAATGTTTCAGTAAATCACGAGCACAAGACCCTGTTACAACTGCTATAGTAGATAAATTTAAGAATGATCCTTGGGGACAAGTTAAGAACCTTTTCCTTGACCTACAATTGCAAAACTTGCATGTACGTGTGTGGATTTGAATGAGTGTTCTCTAAGCTCGTAATCAATATGGCATATTTAAAGAAGTTTTGAACATGTTCATACCTCAACCCTTCGATATAGCAGATCAAGACTTCTAATTGCATCCTTTTCATCCTGAAGAAAGAGCCAATTACAAGTAAGCACATACGACTAGGCTCCCTACAAAATATACAAAGTGAATGAAAATTAAAGGAATTTGAAGACTAATATACATCACGACGTGCTAAATCAAGTCGATTCCATATGACTAATAGAACAAGCTCTGTTAGTTCCCCTTTCTCAGCAGCTTCCTCAATTTTCTGCATTCCAATTGATAAAATATAGTATCAGAAAGTCAATAAGCCAGTTCTGCAATAATTTAATAGTCAGAAGCTTTATGTGAAAAATGGTACGAAATTAGACAAATTCAAAGAAAAATCACCATGATTACTACCCATGAATAGAACACTATAATCATACCTAAGAAGAATATACTAATAAAAAACCCTAAATATCCTTCATTCGCAAACCATAGCCAAGTCACTGTGCAGGCTCTAGTAAGCAAACTATAATTGTTTAGTTGAGAACTCGTGGTTTGTGTTTGCTTAAGCTATCTTTTAGAGCATTGTCAAAAAACCTTCGCCAAAAGCAAGAACAAGAAAACTTCATGCGGATTCGAAGACAACACCCTACTTTTTGAAAGATCAAGTTAATGATTAATAGTAGCATAATGTTACATCAATCAACCCAAAACTTAAGAACTTAAGTGGTAAATTTAATCTAATATCAATACTATTCCTTTTCACCTGTGGACTTGAAAATTTAAAGAAGACCTAACAAGTGGAAATCAATACGAACTCAAGAGGAAATTATATTACCTAGGACCTTCTACTCTGATAGCATGTTATAAATTACCAATTAATCCAAAAGTTTAAGCTAATGAGTTATGATAAATTTAATTTTTATATCAATACATTATGTTAATAGTTGATTACCTCTTCAACTTCTTCAACAGCTCTAATAAAGCTTGAAACCAGTTTTCTAGCTTTTCTGACATCTTCTTCGGGAAATCCTTTCAGACGCATCCCAATCTCACGATATTCTTCTACCTTTCTTTCCTCTTCTTCATCTTCCTCTTGACGCCTTCGATGTAACTCCTTTGTCTTCTCTCTTTGTCGGGCTTGCCATTCCTATTGTAGAACAGGTTAATATCTGATTTTTTTAAACATTTTTCCTTTTTTTTAATAAAAAAACACGATTAACGAAAAATACAAAAGAAGAGGAGGCCAACTCCGAAGTTAAATAAGGTTACAAGAAAGCCTTCTATTTAGCCAAAACATCATCAATAAAGTAACTACAAAAAGCTTTATAAAGCCCACACTGAAAAAATGTAACAAAAAGAACGTTAATGAACATCAAACGAGGATGCAGTGCCAGAGGAGGCGAGAACATTTGGTTTCTAGTGATAAAAAAATGAATGGACCTCCAAATTCATATCCTGTACCAATAATCTTCTTCGTCATATGATCCCGAAACAAGTGATAGCCAGAGAAAAAATAGACAAAACAATTAAGGTCACAAGTGAGTTCACAAAAAGAAATCAAGTTAAAAAGAGTCGAAGCAAATGTAAAACAGAAGCTAAAGGAATAGAGGGTGTGGAATTAATGATGTCATATCCAAGAATAAAGGATGTTGATTTATATGCGAAAGTGACAGCCAGAGAAGGTGCATGTGACAAACAAGTAGGAAATAAGCTAGAATTGTATGTCATATGGGTCGTGGCACCGGAGTCTATGACCCATTTAATAGAGGATGTAAGAAGACATTGGAAGGGTTGCAATAGGGTTCAATGATGCATGCGATTATTTCTGATGCAATTGGAATTTGGCAAAACCATCAAAAGAAATAGTAACCGATCTCTCAGATGTATCATTGATGGAGGCAACCTGAGCAACTTGAGGTCTTTGACCCTTATTCAAGAACTTCCGATAGTTATGTTTCATATGACCAAACTTACGACAGTTACATACAATCTCCTACAAAAATCTTGTCGCTGATTGTCGGAACCAAGTCTCTGAGTATTGATGCTCATCCCCTTGGCAACCTTAGAATCATTCCGACTAAATAGAGTATTGTTAAACTTGAGAACTAGATGAACCAGATGAAGGATTTTACGCACGAAGGACTCTAATAAAGGTTTCGTCCAAATAAGGGGTCTCAGAGGCAGAGAATTTGTGATTTAGTGATCCCGAATTCATACGAATGTCCATTAAGAAAGCTCGTGATACTCATCTTCTCTTGTTGAGCTCGTTGAACCTATATATTACAATAAAAGACAACTATGCATAATATCATATATGTTATAACACTATGTACTATATATATATATATTTTTTTTAACAAGAAACAAAAATAATATTAAAAAATGAAAAGACTTTCGAAATGTGATACCTTTCCACCCTCTTTGCTTTTCCAAAAAAAAAAAGAAAAAGAAAAAAGAAGGAAAAATCGATCCAATTCCAAACTCACCTTGCTTTCAATCCACAAAACTAGCAAACCTCCCAAACATCCCAAGGATTCCACCTGAACCCAATTAATACCTTTTGAACCCCATAAAGATTTTGCATAAAGATTCTACAATCTTTTGAGCTACTGATGACAAATTGAAATCTTGAGTCAACACTATCGGGGCAAATGCTTCACAAAAATTCTTCAGACTCCTTCGTTGGATCCATTTCCCAGACCCTGGTGTTCCAAGAAAAAATCTTTATAGTATATCAAAGAGGGAGTTCAACTTGAATTAATTTTCTGGTAGCCTTTGGAAAAGAGGGATTAATTTCACGGAATTGTACATTACTGGCCTTAATCATAGAAGAAAAATTGTGCAAACCTGAATGTGATGCATATAGAAAATCATTGTCTAAAGCCTGTTTTCCTCTTGGCACAATAATTTCAGAAACATTCAGATTACCAGGTGTCTGAAAAAGAGAGACTAGACCTTCAAAACAATGAGTCTTCAGCAATGGCATCATCATTATACTTGTAGACTGGCTGACAGTCAATTTTCAAGCTACTTAAACTCAAAAATGATTCATTGTCTAATTGTATAACACAGTTGGGAAGCATTTCTTCTGATGCAAAGTTAACTAAAGAGGAAGGGAGTAAGATTTTGGTACAGTTTACTTTGTCGGGTCCAATGTTGCATTGATCAATAATCGAGGGGGGTCTCTTTGGCATGGGCCTCTAAATGCATCAAATCTGCCTCTTGGCTTGCCATTTATAATGGAAAATGTTGTGGGG